AGCACGACGGTGAGCTCGTTTTGCTAATGGCAGGACGGCAGAGGCTATGAACTAAACAGCAGCCAAACATAATCAGCTGAGCAACGGAGATGGCAGAAACACAAAACCAGAGCAGAACAATCTTTTCGCTGTGTATGTGAAAAACATTTGACGGCAGGGAGTGATAGACACGAGGAATAAGCGTTGGCAAGAAGAATAATAATACTAACACTGAAGTTCTGCCACTGTCTGTGTTTAAGTGGATGTCATGAAAGACCTTTACAAGAGCAGTCTCAGTGCTGTGGTTTGGACGAAAGCCTGACTGGAACACATCGAAACAACTATTTAAATGCAAGAAATTACTCAACTGTTGAAAAACAACTTTTTCAATGATTTTACCTAGAAATGGCAGGTTTGATATGGGCCTGTAATTGTTCATTACTGAAGCATCTAGATTATTCTTTTTTAAGAGCGGTTTAATGACTGCAGTTTTCAGGGCCTGTGGAAAAATACCTGAGAGAAGAGATTTGTTTACTATATGAAGTAGATCTGAGGCCATGCAAGGCAAAACATCTTTGAAAAATCCTGTTGGAATAACATCAAGGCAGCAGGAGGAGGATTTCAGAAGTTGAATAATGTCCTCTAGGTTTTTATCATTAATCTGATGGAATTGTGTCATGGTGTTTGAATTGATATTAGGTGGACATAGGGACAACACATTTGCTGTTCCTGATTCAGAGGCACTGACTGCTTGTCTGATTTTCTGAATGTTGTCAGTGAAGAAGGCAAAATCATTGCACGCCCTGGTGGATAGAAGTTCAGAGGCTACTGACACCGGGGGGGTTGTTAGTCTGTCGACGGTAGCAAAACAAGGCACGTGCATTGTTTTTGGTAATGATGTCAGAGAAGAAAGATTGTCGTGCGTTTTTCAATTCCAAATTATAAAAGCCAAGTCTCTCTTTATAGATTTCAAAGTGAACCTGGAGATTTGTTTTTCGCGACCTGCGTTCAGCTTTTCACACTCTCTTTTTTCTGTTCTCACGGTCATGGCCTTTCTCCATGGAGATATTTTCTTCCCAGTCACTTCCTTTACCCTAGTTGGAGCAATGGCATCTATAACATTTTATTTTTTTTTATTAAAATGATCTACTAGCTCATTTACTGAGATGTTAACAGGGGCAAGTGTGGAAGAAAAATTCTGAGTAAACATTTCCCTAGTATTTTCAGTTAAATATCGCTTTGTGGTTACCTCTTTTTGAACATTTTTGTGAACAGAAATAGAGCTCTCAAAGAAAAAACAGGAATGGTCAGAGAGCGCAACATCAGTCACCACAACCTTAGAGATATTCAGACCCTTTGAGATAATTAAGTCCAGTGTGCCCCATATTGTGCGTGGGCTCCGTCACATGCTGAGTCAGACCATAGCTATCAAGAACACAAAACAGTTCTTTAGCCCCTCTGTCCTGGGGGTTGTCAACATGGATGTTAAAATCACCAACAATGACTAGACGGTCAAAGTCAATACACACTATAGACAGCAGTTCAGTAAAGTCATCAAAAAATCTTGCACAGTATTTTGGTGGTCTATAGATATTTAGGAACAGAGCTCGAGAGGAGCATTTCAGCTGAAGGGCCACATATTCAAAAGAAGCAAAGTTCCCATACGATGTCTTCCTGCATTGAATGGAATCATTGAACAAAATAGCAACTCCACCCCCTTTCTTATGCATTCTTTCCTGACTCATAAAACTAAAGTTGGGAGGGGTTGATTCGATAAGAACAGCTGCACAGTTATTTTGTTCAATCCAAGTTTCCGTTAAAAACATAAAATCAAGATTGTGCTCAGTGATAAAATCATTGATTAAAAATGTTTTTCCTGCCAGAGACCTGACATTTAATAAAGCTAGTTTAAGTTTGTTAGATACACTAGCAGTAAGATTGTTTGTGACAAGCTGTGGCTGACATGGAATCACTGCTAAATTTGATAAACTCACACAAACATTTGAGCACTTCCTGTTTCTAAGCTGATTCACCGCTCTTAATCTATTATTAGAACTACAATATGTGAAATAATATAGCAATATCCTGTAAAATTATATGAAAACATGAATAAATACACATCTTCAGATGTTATACACACATAAGTGTCCTACACTAATAATACACATTTATTATGGCATTATATACTGTGTGTACCTTGTGTGCACCGCCTTAAGAGTACATACAAAATAGGGGGAAAGTAGAAGGTCAATGATAGAAATATAGAATATAAAAAATCAAGAAGATACTGTAAGTGATCTCTACAATAAAACAGTTTAGTTTCGGAATCCGAAATTATGGCAGCGCGTGCTCAACGCGAGGCTCAGTTTCTCTCTAGAATTAGCAAAATAGTATTTATTTGTCTACTTTTATTACGTGTTTTCACTCGGAACAGCCTTTCACTAACTTCATACAGCCGACAACAACTCCTGGACATTGGACTATGCCATTCCAAACCTGTTAAGCCTGAGAGACCCCGGTAACGGGACCTCCTGCAATATCTTGCAGAAAACAGTGTCTGAGGGCATGTTCATTTAATAAACTATAAATGTTTTATATCCATGTAACGGAAATAAACTCATCTAACTGATCATTTTAATTTTTTTTTCAAAATACCCCCCACATTGCTAACGCTGAGCCTCTGAATTAGCAACGAGCGAAAAATGCTAACAGATGACTGCACCAAAATTCACTCACAAAACCTTATTATTTATCTTTGCTGCACATCTCAACCCATCGTTTCACATCGTGAGGGGACACCGAATCGATGGGTACCCTCATTATCACTCAATTATACGAATTCTCGGAGATAATGACAAGAACACACATCAAAACATATGGAGCTAGTTAGCTAAAAACAGCAAAATGGCTCACCTGTGTGGTAGTCTGGTCAAAAGTGGTCTTCAATGGCATTAAAACGATAAAAACGATGCTGAAGTTAATCCATAGGTTAATCCAATCAGTAGTGTGGCGTGGGAAAAAAATTAGGGGAAGCCAATAATACGTCCTTTCTTTTGGGTCGGGGGGGTGTGGTGGTCAATATAATAACGTAACCAGATGAGTGATTACAGCACCCGGTATCATTTTACCCACATTTGTATCATACAGATGCAGGACTTACACACCCTGTTATCGATTATAACCGACAGGTCCGCACGCACTCTCCAGCCGAAACTCTAATAAGCATTCATTCACAAACTAAATCAGGAGACCTTTAACGTTTTACGTCCGATTCGCTCCTTTTTTCCTCTCTGTACACAGCTCCAGTTTGGGCATTGGCCTGTCATCAGATTGTATTTGTTGTTGCTGCTGTAGCGGAAGTTTAGTACAATTATTTTTGAGTAAATACTCAAAATCTTCACCCTCCATAATTGCACTTGCTTCAGTTGCTTGCTACTTTCAAACGGCGGTGAGAGTGGTGCAGTGACGCTATCTATCTTCTATCGATTCGATTTATGATTCGAAAATTATAAAAGTAGGGTAGACATGTGAATATTATCCGACTGAACACAACGTGCATTTATCTAACAGGTTCGTTCGCCTCTGGCTTCCCTTGGCATGGCCCTGACTAATCACAGGTTGGCAGGGGCATCACGTGAGCCTCATCTGATTGGTCAATCTCTCAATTATTTTCACCAAGGGAAGCCAATTTCGGCTAGCCTCCTCTCGCAGCAGAGAGTGCAATCAACTGTTTCACCATAACATCTAGAGGGGCGCTGTTTCACTCTTTGTAAAATACTCAATGAGAATGGGGGAGAGACGGGCCGGCAGCAACACACAACAAAGGATTTCCGAAACTAAACGAAGTGTTTTTATTTATTTATTAAAATTATAACTACACTCCGAAAAAACAGGGGAAGCCTGGCTTCCCTTGGCCTCCAGGAGAAAACGCCACTGAATCCAATGTGTCTGTGTCACTTTGAATGATTTCTGATAATCCATGAGCAATAAATCTGCTTTTCGGTTTTGAGATGTTAGACCTAGAGACAGCTTCAATCTGGACCAAAACTGGGTACGCGAAGACGCCATCTTTTTTTTAACATGAGTGTGTGCGGGGAGATTTCCCTTCAATTCTATTGGCTCTAACGGTCAGAAAGAGATGTCACATGTCAAAATCGAAGAAGGGGGGCCAGAGATAAGGAAAATCCACCCAAATGGCCCCAGAAGAGGTTTTTTGCTAAATCTGTCTAAAAAGGTCAAATATCACTTGTTTTGCATCAATCTTGATACAGGGTACTTATTATATGTTGTACTTTGGATTCCTAAAGCTTTTTGTCTACTAACCCATCATCCAAGGTTAGTTTTCACTATAAGTACAACATATTTTTTGAACGGACACTATAATTTACAGTTTTTTACCATGTTCAATCTTTAAAATAAAAAACATCTATATTGATTCTGACTTTTCTACATCCAACCCACAGGTTTATCATTACTTTGAGAAAAAAGATTATTAATTTAACCCTTTTAGAAGGGAAGATATGGTCATTTGTTCTGGGAATGTCATTTTCGAGCCTGAGACCTGAAAAACAGGCTCAGGGCTTAACAGGCTAACACTGACGCCAATCAGGTCAATTTGACCCAGAGCTGTTTTTTATTGTATGTAACTTTTTTTCAATAAAATATTAAAGTCTCCCAGTCCGTGTCTTTTCCTGAAAGTGTGTTGTCAATATGAAGTCAGATTGAAGAAATCGCCCAAAAAATTGCCATTTATACCTATTTCCGCCAAGCGGGTCATATTGACCCCACCCCTTTTCGCGCTATTGATTTCGCGTGTACACAAACATGACGTGTTGCTATAGCAACGCCTTTCGTCTACTGCGGTTCCTTATAGATTGAGAGATAGATTGAGAGAGAGAGAGATAGATGGATAGATATATTGATAGCGACAGTCTGTAGTGAAGGAGCGCGCTCCCGCTCACGGGAGACTGCTCGCGCTGCGCAGCGCAGCAAACAGCTGTTTGCTTTTCACCCAACAATGACAACCGCCTCACGAAACGCTATGTTGTAGCGTTAATAAACGAAACAATTTAACAAAATTACTTGTCAAAATACCAATACCACAGGACCATTTTTCTTTTTAAAGCAATACTTTTACCTTGAACATCAATGCATTCTAATGCCGGGTCAATTTGACCCCGGTGGCGGTTTTAGGTATAAAAAATATCTGGTGGTTCTAGTGTTAACAGATGTTCTCCGTATCATTCCGGAGATCGCCAGATCACCGGAGCCTGCTCAGTCTACTCTGCCGAGCGGAAGTGCCCACAGGCGGCGTAGAGATCGTAAACAAAGGTGGGGGAAGCGAGGAGGGCTAAGAAATAGGCTGAAGCTAACACCGTATCGGCTCGCCCTACCCAGCATTTTCCTTGCCAATCTGCGTTCTATAATGAACAAAATGGATGAGATACGACTATGCATCGTCAACCACAAACGGATGATGGACTGCAACATCATGATCTTCACGGAAACATGGCTAAGCGACGTTCCCAATAGCGCCGTTGAGCTAACTGGGCGTAACCTCTTCATAGCAGACAGATCAGCTGACGACTCCGGTAAGACCAGGGGAGGGGGGCTGTCCATGTATGTAAACAAAGCATGGTGTACAGACTCTGCTATTGTCAGCAGTTACTGCTCAGCTCATCTGGAATAGCTTTTTATTAAATGCAGACCCTTCTATCAACCCAGAGAGGTCACAGCAATCCTAGTAATAGCCGTATATGTAGCCCCGGATGCTAATGCTAAAATTGCAATGAAAGAACTGCACACAGCCATTAGCCAACAACAAACTACACACTCTGAGGCAGCTTTCATTATTGCAGGTGATTTCAATCACTCCAGTGTGAAGACTGTACTCCCCAAATTCCGACAACATGTCTCCTGCCCCACGAGAGGCAACAAAACATTGGATCATGTTTACAACCATTGTATGGCCAATGCATACAATGCCATCCCCCTCCCCCACCTGGGTCAGTCTGACCACCTCTCACTGTTCCTTTACCCCACATACACACCACTCATCAAACGTGTGAAACCCACAGTGAGGACTGTCAAGGTATGGCCTGAGGAGGCAGACTCTATGCTACAGGACAAGTGTCAACATACAGCCTGGAGTGTGTTTGCCACCCAGGCCACCTTGGATTCTCATACAGACATTGACCCCTACGCCTCCTCCGTACTGGACTACATCAGCACTACCATCAACAGTGTCACCACTCTGAAGCAGATAACAAAATACCCAAACCAGAAGCCGTGGATGAATAAAGAAGTTTGCCAACTACTGAAAGCACGAAACATCGCCTTCAGATCAGGTGACGAACGGGCTTACAGTTTATCCAGGGCTCACCTAAAGAAGGGCATTAGGAAAGCCACGCACTGCTACAAACTGAGGATTGAGGAGCACTTCAATAACTCCGACCCCCGAAGAATGTGGCAGGGCATTCAAGCCATCACTGACTACAAACCCACCACCCCCTCTCTCCCGTCAAACGACGTCTCCTTCCTCAACGAGCTGAATGATTTATATGCTCGCTTCGACAGGGACAACCAGGAGACAGCCACTAAGGCTGTTCCCCCTGCAGACCACCAGCCTCTCACACTCTCACCTTCTGACGTCTTCACCACACTGAGCAGGATTAATGTACGCAAGGCTGCTAGACCCGATGGCATCCCAGGCCGCGTTCTCAGGGCCTGTGCTGGGCAACTGACTGAGGTCATGACCGACATTTTCAACCTGTCCCTGGCCCAAACTGTTGTCCCCACATGCTTTAAAACCACCGCCATAGTGCCAGTGCCCAAACACTTTGCTGCAGCAGGAATTGAATGACTTCCGTCCATTGCACTTACACCCATTCTCATGAAGTGCTTCGAGATGTTGGTCCTAGCACAGCTTAAATCCCGCCTATCACAGACACTGGACCCCCATCAATTTGCATACGGGACTAATAGGAGCACGGAAGATGCTGTCTCCATAACACTTCACACCGTCCTCTCACATCTGTAAAAAAAACAACTCCTATGCAAGACTGCTGTTCATCGATTTCAGTTCAGCCTTCAACACCGTCATCCCCTCCAAGCTAATCACAAAACTCAACGACCTGGGCATTGATGCCCCCCTTTGTAATTGGATTTTAGACTTTCTAACCAACAGACCCATGACCCTCAGCCTAAATACCGGTGTCCCACAAGGCTGCGTGCTGAGCCCCCTCCTCTACTCCATCTTCACCCACGACTGTACCCTGTACATGGTTCAAACACCATCATCAAGTATGCAGACGACACAACGGTGATCGGCCTCATCCACAACAACGATGAGACAGTTTACAGGGAGGAGGTTCAGCATCTGACTGAGTGGTGTGCTGACAATAACCTGGCCCTTAACACAACAAAAACAAAATAACTCATTGTGGACTTCAGGAAATCGAAAGGCAACACACACACTCCCATCCACATAAATGGAACGGCGGTGGAGCGTGTGTCTAGCTTCAAGTTCCTGGGGGTCCACATATCCGATGACCTCTCATGGTCCAACAATATCACCAGCATAGTAAAGAAGGCTCACCAGCGTCTCTTCTTCCTGAGGAGACTAACGAAAGATCACCTCTCTCCTCAGATTCTGGTGAATTTAATCGCTGCACCATTGAGAGCATCCTGACTAGCTGTATCACAGCCTGGTATGGGAACTGCACAATGCTCAATAGGAAGGCATTGCAGAGGGTGACGAAAATCGCCCAACGCATAATCGGTGTCCCACTCCCTGCCATCGAGGACATCCAGGGGATACGGTGTTTGCAGAGGGCGCACAACATCTTCAAAGACACCTCTCATCCTGAAAACTATCTGTTTGTCCTCCTACCCTCGGGGAGGTGCCTCAGGAGCCTCCGGTCCAAGACCAGCAGGTTCAGGGTCAGCTTCTTCCCCAGGGCTGTTACCCTGCTGAACTCTGCCCGCTGATAGACTCAAGCTGTTTATATATTTTACTGTCAATGCCGTTTACACTGTATATATTCATCTGTTTATAGCCTATTTATAATTATTCTATTTATAATAATTCCATGTATAATTATTCCAATTATGTAGACTCCTGCACTGCTATTTTGCACTTCTGGTCAGATGCCTAAACTTACATTTCGTCACTAGTACATGTACTATGTAATGACAATAAAGTTGAATCTGCATCTGATCTGAATGTACAAAGATATTAATAGGAGGATGCAAAACAGAAAAACAAATTAACCTTTATTTAAACATTAAAGTATACCTTAGGTTAAGGTCTTCTTCTAAATAAGAAAAAAAGCTTTGGGGGTATCTACAGATAAATATTAAGCCTGACAAAGTACTTAAAGTCTAATATATTACTTTCCTGCAATGTTAACTATGTTGAAGCACTTATTTTAACTGATATTATACACATTAATTATACTCTTATGTATGTAGATAGAATAAGAAATGGGCAGAATATGACAGTTTAATGGTGGAGGTACACATATTGATTCCAATGTGCTGCAGGTCTCCCTTGAAAAAGAGATCGTTGATCTCAATGGGATTTTCACCTGGTTAAATAAAGGCTACAAACAAACAAACAATTGATAGATGTCTTGTAATGTACGCTCGGCGTAACCTTGGCGCACTGCCACTCCAATATCCAATCTATACTATATCTTAGATATTTTATTTAAGTGTATTTGAAGTGTACTAAGTATTATGTTCGTAACCTGTATTTAAATCAGGCTTTATAATTATTTGAGTGACCGAGATCATGTAAGTGTATTTCAAGTGTACTATGTATTAATTTATTGAGCTGTACTTAAATCAGGTTTTTAAATAGTTTGACTGATAGAGATCATGCAATGTTATTATTTGTTTATTGATTGTTATGAACCTGCCTGAGGACCACAGATGGAAATGAGCTATTAGCTATAATCTGGCATATTGCATCTCTTCTCTTTGCTGAGATTAATGTTTTTGTATGCATGGCCCTTCTATAAATAAATACAAACAAAGAATCCCAGAGCTTGAAGATTAATTACGGGGTTTTCAAGCCAAGGGACTATAGTCCCAAATGATAGCTGAGGATTATGGTTAGTGTAGTGTCTTCGGCCATCCTATACTCCGAAATGTTTTTTGCGGATTTCATATCGCATTAACACCATATCCCAACGTGCATTGAGGCTAAAACATCCATTCACCGAGCTTAAACCATAGCTGAGGATCTTGGGTAATCAGTTCAGTGGGTGTGGTGTGTATCGCCATGATGCTCGAAATGTCCCTTATGGGCCTACGTCTGTTTCCTGTTACTTTATTTTGAAATGCAGTTCCTGACGGACGCCAAAAAAGCCAGAGATAATAGAATTAAACAAATAAATAAAAAACAAGGATAATTGGGTGTTATTGTTGAGTAACAATAACACCCCTCCTCCCTTCTGTCCAGCGACTTTGTTAACCACTTTGAAAAAAAGGTTGATGATATTCGCTCTTCTTTTTCTGACTCACCTTTACTCACCGCTGGGTCACCAGACCCTCCTTTCACCCACCCACTAACCTCCTTTTCCCCTCTCTCTCCAAGTGAGGTTCTTACCCTCATTACCTCTGCCCGCCCTACCACCTGTCCTCTGGACCCTATCCCTTCAAACCTACTTCAGACTATCGCTCCTGATATTCTACCGTTTCTCACCCATTTCATCAACACTTCTCTAACTTCTGGTCACTTTCCAAACAGTCTCAAGGAGGCAAGAGTAAATCCTCTCCTAAAGAAACCCACTCTCAATCCGTCTGATGTTATAAACTACAGGCCTGTCTCTCTCCTCCCGTTCCTGTCTAAATCACTTGAACGCGCTGTCTTTAAACAACTCTCCTGTTATCTCCATCAGAACAACCTTCTGGATCCGCACCAGTCTGGTTTCAAGGCAGGTCACTCCACATAAACTGCCCTCCTTGCTGTCTCTGAGGAACTGCACTCGGCTAAAGCAGCATCCCTCTCCTCTGTCATCATCCTTCTGGACCTGTCTGCTGCATTCGACACGGTGAACCATCAGATCCTCCTTCGCACTCTCCAAGAACTTGGAGTTTCAGGCTCTGCACTTTCCCTCGTCACCTCATACCTCAAATACCGCACCTACAGGGTAACTTGGAGAGGGTCCGAGTCCGACCCTTGTCAATTAACTACAGGGGTCCCTCAGGGCTCTGTTCTTGGTCCCCTCCTCTTCTCCTTGTACACAAACTCGCTCGGATCTGTCATTAGCCCGCATGGTTTTTCATACCACTGCTACGCTGACGACACCCAATTAATTCTGTCCTTTCCCCGCTCAGAGACCCAGGTCATCGCACGCATCTCTGCTTGTCTAGCTGACATCTCTCGGTGGATGTCTGCTCACCACCTCAAGCTCAACCTTGAGAAGACTGAACTGCTTTTCCTTCCGGGAAAACATTGTCCCACTCTTGACCTAACAATCAACATCGGCACCTCAGTTGTTTTCCCCGACTCAGACTGCAAGGAATCTGGGTGTGATCCTAGATAACAACCTGTCCTTCACTGCAAACATCGCTGCTACAACCCGTTGCTGCAGATACACGCTTTACAACATCAGGAAGATACGTCCCCAGCTGACTCAGAAAGCCACGCAGGTTCTGGTCCAGGCTCTCGTCATCTCACGCCTAGACTACTGCAACTCCCTCCTGGCTGGTCTACCTGCATGTGCCATCCGACCTCTGCAGCTCATCCAGAATACAGCTGCTCGTCTGGTCTTCAACCTTCCTAAATTCTCCCACACCACTCCGCTCCTCCACTCCCTTCACTGGCTTCCGGTAACTGCTAGAATCCACTTCAAGACAATGGTACTTGCGTACCATGCTGCGAATGGATCTGGCCCTTCCTACATCCAGGACATGGTTAAACCGTACACCCCAGCACGTGCACTCCGCTCTGAATCAGCCAAACGGCTCGCTGCACCCGCACTGCGAAGGGGACCCAAGTTCCCATCAGCAAAAACACGTGGGTTTGCTATCCTGGCTCCAAAATGGTGGAATGAGCTCCCCATTGACATCAGGACAGCAGAAAGCTTACACAACTTCCGGCGCAGACTGAAAACTCATCTCTTTCGACTCCAATTCGAGCGATAGAACTATTAACAAAGCACTTATATACTAATAAAGGACTGGCTTATCTAAAGCCAGTTGAGTAGCACTTGAAATGTTTTTGCTCTATGAAGCCTGATGTACTTATATGATTCTGTTTTCTTCAAGTTTGTATTTTGTTGGTCGAACGCACTTATTGTAAGTCGCTTTGGATAAAAGCGTCAGCTAAATGCAATGTAATGTAATGTAATGTAAATAACAGTGTGTTATTTAGAAAATAATATCAAATTAAAAGGAAAAAAATATTTAAAAAACACATATTTCAGTATTCTGAGCCCCATTTATTTTCCTAGCGGACGGCAAAAAAAGTCAGACACAATACGATTTAAAAATAAAAACAATAATCGTGGCTTGATATTGAGTAAGACTATGTTTTTATGAACCACACAGCTTCCGGTCTTCCAAGACCCGACCGGACAAAAATACGTGCTGCAGGCACGAGACACACTACCAATAGAAATACATTGCTTTTAAAATCGTTCAATGTGACACGAAAAAAAGGGGAGAATCGTGTTGGTGAACACGAATCAATAGATTAAATGTCGTGACTATAACACGAAATGCCGTGAGACTGGGTTGGTCAGATGCCCACATGTACATAGAAACAATTTGTGTTAGGTGTAATCCTTTTTTTTTGCTTTAGAAGATAAACACTTGATTTAAAAATCTTAGACCATCAATGCTGCTCCGTTCACATGTGTATATGTGCGTGTGACTATTGTTTTAAGAAAGATAAAACATATGAACGTGTTCTTTAATGTCTATTATGATCTGTAATCACTCAGAGACACAAGCCTTACAGCCCAACACCTTCCTCTGTCTCTGTAGTTACCTCTGAACTTTCTGAAGACAACGCCAAGCAGACTGCAGAAATCCTGAACCTGACATCACGAATCCAGGAGCTGGAGACATGGAAGAATCTCACGGTCCAGTATGACATCCTGACACAAGCCTATACTGTCTTAGAAAGCAACAACACAAACCTGTCTGCAGAAGTCCAGGAGCTGAGCAAACTAAACCAGGAGCTGGAGACATGGAAGAATCTCACGGCCAGCTGTGACAACCTGACACAAGCCTATACTGTCTTAGAAAGCAACAACACAAACCTGTCTGCAGAAGTCCAGGAGCTGAAAACACGAAACCAGGAGCTGGAGACATGGAAGAATCTCACGGTCCGGTATGACAACCTGATACAAGCCTATACTGTCTTAGGAAGCAACGTGAAAAACCTGAGCAAACTAAACCAGGAGCTGGAGACCAAGAAGAAGAACTTGACACAGCAAATAAAAAACATGGAGACAACCTGGAATGAGCTCAACGTCAGTCGAGCTCAGTGGAGCATCGATTCCTACTGCTTAGGAAATACCGGTATGTTCAGATCCTCTATATTAGGTCATAATTACAATATGTTCATACTGCAGTCATGTTGTTGATTGTTTGGACTCTGTTGTTTCAGATGATAAGTGTCAACCCTGTCAGTTTGGATGGGGACTCTCTCAGCCCAGCTGCTATGCGATCAATGACCCTCCTTCTCCTGGTTGGAAAACCTGGGAAGAAGCTCGAGAAGACTGCAAAGGAGAGAATTCAGATTTGGCTGTTGCACATATTCCTGCTGAAAAGGTAAACCCATTCATATGATGCGATTATGAAAAGTGTATATATTTTTTTGTAGGTCTGAACACACTTTGGGTCTTTAGGTCATTATGTGCTTATTTACTTATACGGTGTAAATACCTGATATATGTTCCTCTGTTGTTAGAACGACATCATCGATAAATACAGCCCATTTAGTTCAGGAACTAACGGATACTGGATTGGTCTGAGAGTTGAAGATGGGGAATGGAAGTGGGTGGATGGAAGTGATCTGACTGATAGGTAAGAGATTCATTACTAAACACTTTGAATAATAACATATATCAGCCTTTCTCTAAACATCATGTTCTCTCCTCAGCTCCTTTAATGCAGATCCTGTTAAAGGTCGCTGTGCAATCTCTGTCCTGAGGGAAAACAACTGGGTATCAGTGAGCTGTGGTGACCACAAACAATGGATCTGCCAGAAGAAGGCTTTATCTCTCACTGTTTAAACAGGACAGTCATACAAAGAAAATGAAATCCATGAACAGGCCTATAAATGTAAAACTATGAATTATCCTACTTTAAAATAAAAACAAATTCCATAAATGTGCAGATTTGACCTTGTCAAACAAAAAATGGAAAAAAAACAGTAATTCCATAAACTCAATACAAACAATAAGACACAAAAGTTAACTCATATATAATGTGGATTATTTTGACATCAATATACTTTTAGTTCTACTTGATATAATATAATCACTCAAAAGAATGCAATTATTCATTTCCTTAACATTCTATGGTGTTTTTATCAGTCTGGGCGGATCAACTCGTTTTCCTGTTACGGTTCGACTACATAAACATTGCATGAACTTAAAATAAACAATGCGACACAAAAGTTAACTCGTATATTTTGTGGATAATTGTAAAATCAATATACTTTTACTTTGACTTCATTGGAGCTTGCTAAATTAATGCAAATATTTCTTTCTTTCTAAAAATGTTATTGTCTTTGTATCAGATATGGATGGTTGAGATAGTTGTACTGTTTTGTGTGAACATTTTTATTCTATTGTGTTAGAGATGCAAGGCTTAAACTCTGCAGATTATTGCAAAGATTATGGACCATTTCCTTGCATTGCTTCTAACGGCCAACAGAGGGCGCTGCATCGCTTGTTCTCAATACAATGTTCCTGAGTCTGTTTCATCGAGTATTCTGATGGAGAATTTGTTTATTTGCACAGCTGACGGATCATTTATCTCTCTGTATTTCTATCTATAAGCAATTTCATGTTTTACTCTGTTCACCGGTAAATAAATGTGCTGCCACACATTGTTGTTTTTGAATTTTTCTTGAAAACATCAGTAGGTTTTAATCAAGGCAGAACGAACATGTTATTGCCAAGTATGTTGCCAAGTTATCAAGTGGATCGCTCAAGCCAGCCGTGTCCTATCTAGTTAGGTGCGCGTTCACATGAGAGGGGTGGTATTTGGAGCATTCGACCAATCACAAACATGAACAAGCGTACTGACAGTGCAGCGCGTCATACTTCCTGAGTGAAAAGTCAACTATATAATTAGACAAATATGAAGACGTTAAACTTTAAACATCCATGACTTAAACACTTTATCCAGGATAAAAGCCACATAGTTGCACCTGCAAGGTGAATACAGCTGGTAACAGAACAAGTGTTTGAATGCGTACATTAACAGGTTTATGATATGCCAAGACACGATCTGACTTTAATTACATTTGACTTGAGTGTTTCGTAATGTGTTGCTTAAAATAATACTTCTGCATACAGTATGTGACACTGTAAGTGTTGCGCGGCCAGATACGGCTCAGCTGACTCAGATAAGGAAATATATGATACATTATGATGTGATATGAATGATAATTGCACACATTGACGTCTGCACTCACAGTGCCGCGGACTGTAGGCTACGTAATGTTACTTTGATCCGGTTACTTATGTTGTGGCAGATATTTAAGTAAGCTTTCTTAACGCTGTTGGGGCAAAGCGTGGTCTGAAACCCACCTCGGCTCCGCGTATTCTTTGATGAGCTGGTCAGATTTATAAAAGAAGGAATTCAAAGCACCAGGATAAGGGTTAAACAATAATCTGTTTTAATGGTAAACAACAATACAATACACTTTAAAGGGGGTACCCCTGCTCTGGTCCCAGTGCCGGGAGATCTTGACGGCAGGAGGAAAAGAGACCGGACACAAAGACACAACAGGATACATGTAAGAACAACGGGGAGGAGTTGTGTAGGATGCTCCTTCCATAGAGGACAATAGTCTCTTACGGTTGTGGCAAAACAAACACATCTGGTGTCTGTTGTCACCAGTGGCGAGCCGTGACTTTTATACCTAGGCCCTCTGACCCCCCTTCCCTCGAAAAAAAAGAAGAGATATTACGTCACAGCGTATACTTCAGCGGAATATCAAAACAGTGGTCCGGGGTGCAAAACGCATCAATGACAGCGACCCTCTACCACACAAAACAACATCATTTATACCTACACCTATCATGACAGGGCACCCACAGCCAAGTAACAATTACAAATGAATTAAGTCGGCACGGCGGCCCGCATTGAAAATGACTTAGGCCTACCTTTGATGATCAAATCACTAAACACAAAGTCCATCCTCCTGTCCTTTTGGATGAAGCACTTGATGGCGGGTCATGCAGCTGATCCTTTGCCACTCCAGTTTATCATTGGAACTCAATCTTGAAAATGACTCGGTTAATAATTTCGCAACGATGTCATCACTATCACTGAAGTGAGCAATCATGAACAAACTTATGCTAATCATAAATCTATCGATCATAAATCTATCGATCATAAATCTATCGATTAGATTTATGATTCAAAAATAATAAAAGTAGGGTAGACATGTGGATATTATCCGGCTGAACAAAACGTGCATTTATCTAACAGGTTCGTTTTCCACAGACCTTATTTCGAGCTATTTTCCCAAATCCTATGGAGAAATCCCACTGCTTTCTGTCGAGGGAATCCGAGCGAAGCTTACTTCTGGGTTTTAGGATGCGTCACTGCACCACTTGCATAGACCTCACAGCGGGCGGAACTTGTCATAAAGTCCGTGAAAATAATGCCCGCCCATTTAGAGGAAAGATATTATTGGTCAATTGTACTGTCATTTGACATTACTCTCTCATTGAGTTACTATAGCTGGCCCTCTGTGAATGTGGAGAAGGACCAACAAGCCCTCCCGTCTTCACAGTAACTCGCAGAGACGGCATTTAACCCTTCACATTCCCTCACAGAGGGCCTAAGATAGAGGGCCCTGACGGCTCGCCACTGGTTGTCACACATTCTTGCAGTTCTCTCTCTCCGGCCCCCTCCCCCATCAGTTCAATACACACACAGTTTCACATACTTTAGGTATTTTAAAGATAGGTTTACGACATAGCTGTTTATAGTTGGCCAATACAAGTAATACATATCAGTTACTTTAATATTACACACATATTTTAGACATGTATCGTTCCAGATACTTGACATGCTGTGTTTAAGAGGGATGTAGTCTATGCAAGGTCTCAGAGAACCGTCCTTCTTTCCTACGAAGAAAAACCCCGCTCCAGCTGGGGAAGATGAAAGGCGGATAATCCCTGATTTGAGAGAAGAGGAAATGTAGTCGTCCATTGCCGCTCTCTCTCTCTGGCCTTGAGATTGAATACAGTCTTCCCTTGGGAATGGGAGCCCCCGGTAGGAGATCAATTGGGCAATCAAAAGGTCGGTGAGGAGGTACAGATGTAGCACCTCATTTCAGACTACAGTTTACAGCTTCCTGCCTACGACCTGCCTAAAACCAGTATCGAGGAATGTTAAGCCCTCCCACTATTTTCCAAGAGGGCGTTGCCAGATTTTCAATTTCAGGTTTTAAACCAGGAGATGGCGCTTTATTCACAAATACAGAAAGGACAAGTTTCATGGTGTTACGTGCCAGGCAGGCTGTACTGGTGTGGGTTTTCCTTCCCTCCTGTGTTTCTCTCTTCTCCCTGTCTTCTGCACGCTATCAGCAGCTGATCGGTATCTGCCTGTGCACCTGAGTCTGATAGCTGATTGGATCCTCTCACCCTCAGCTGGCCTATCAGCAGCCAGGGCCGACCATAAAGGAGGCACCCAGGAAGTCTTCTCGCTCTCTCACTCTGGGCCTGTTGCTGATGAAGGAGCCTGCAGTATTTAGCCACTCAATTTCTTTGTATTGTCTGACCTTATTGAAAGTGTGTTGAGAGGTGGAGGAGTTAGGTAAGTCTGGGGTACCCTGTACATTTCTCACCACGTAGCTAACTAATGTTTAGACACACTAGGTTAGCGGATTGTTTGCCACCCTGTATATTGTTTTGTCAAAGTCTTTGTAGTTTAGTTAGTGAGGGTTTTTGTTTGAGTTTGGTTTCAAAGGATAGATGTAGAGATAGGGCCTGATTTGGTTATGCTTGTTTCTTTTGTTTGGCGCAATCCTTTGACTCCTCCTCCTCGCTCACCAACTAAGGTTTCAGTTACATGTCTGTTCGGGTTCTGGGTTAAGAAAATAAACCTTTTGTAAACTGTTACGCTGACTCCCTCATTAATTATTGGTTGTATGTTATTGTCTCCAGGTCCCCTAGACCTTAGTGGGGACGTAACCAATGGGGGCACGTCCGGGATTTCAGTTGTGTTTTGAAGAGCATTTGAACACATCAATATTTAGATCAACTAAAGTATATCTAATCTTGTAATTCAATCATATATAGTCCTTTATATATTAAATATCATAATAATAATGTAATGTTTACATTACACTTCTTTATTTGTTATGCTCATACTTTATACCTTTACAAAGCGTTTGCTTTAATATGCAGTAATAGTTTTTGTATATTTTGTGTGTTTGCTTCCTCCTGCTCCCTTTAGGACACATACTGTATGATTTATTATTATTATTAATATGAAGATATTATTAAGATAAGATGTTTTAGTTTAGAATGTGCTGTCCCACGGTAATTCAGAAGGCTCACAGGTCACATTCCGACCATTATTTAAAACAATAGGTGCTTTCACACCGTCTAGTTTGATTTGTATAGAGGGAGCTCTGTGGCTGAATGGCCAGCGATTTGGTGTGGCGTATTTATCATAGGTGATCAGAGCTAACTGCCTGCCGTCAGATTTCATTTAAAAACAGATCTGATTTTAAGACTATTTCTGCGCTCATAAAGAATGATAAGAATAAGAATAATGCGGATTGAACTGGTTTCATTCATTAGTGAGTTTATTTAACACTAGAACCGCCAATCGGGTCAATTTGTGTGATGTGTGTTGTGTGTGTGCAATGTAACTTTTTTTCAATAAAATATTAAAGTCTCCCAGTCCGTGACTTTTCCTGAAAGTGTGTTATGTAGCACCCTATGTTGTTAAAAATTGCATTCTAATAGCGGGATTTTACGGTGTTAGGTAGGCCTATACAAAAACCTCTGGCGGTTCTAGTGTTAAGGGTAATTAGGTACAGTAGAAGCCCTTTTTATCAGTAACGAATTTAGCAATTGAACATAAAGTCAAACTAACTGAGGGTCACTTGCAATGACAGTGTTGTGTCTAACTGTAAGCTTGTCACACAGAGTAACCTACATTAATTTAGCTGCTGGAGAAGAAAGATCAGGGGGGGAGGGGGGGAGAGAGCTGTGGTTTATGGCCATTAGTTGTGTAAATACACAGCTGAGAGCTGCCGTTTAATTCAGACTGTTTAAAAACGGTAACAACGGACTATTTTTCTTAGCGAATGCATGTCAATTTAAATCAATACATACAACTATATTTTAAACCAATAAAACATTTTCTAAATCCATACAAGTATTTCAATTCATATTGGGAGTCATGTCGTTACTTTGTTCAGAATGTGGCCATGTAATAAGCGGGATAATTGCCTAGCGACTTGTTCCTTATGGGGAAAATAACACCCTTCATGCAGATCAAGATCCCTCCGCTACGCGTTTGGATCCTGATCTGCCGACGAGGCTCCATTAAAATATAAATATTTTTAGTGAATTAACTGAGTTTAGGCACGTTAATAACGTTTTTAATGAAGTTGAATACAGTATATTCATATTTGTCAGGGATTTCATGTAAATTGTGTGTGTGTGTGTGTGTGTGACACGCCCGTTCAAAGCCGTGTCCCTCACTCCTCACATCCCAAGCTGCATCCCCAAAAAGTGTATTATGTTGTTACATCG